TAAAACCATATGCATTCCCATCTCAAACTCTTATAGTGTGATGTATGCAAATTAAGGCTTCAGTCATGGCATAGTTTTGATTGGTGGTTCGAACTTTGCGGACCGATTACTAACCACTCACTGTGTTATGGTTAGCGCAGATTTAAAAAAAAAACTTTCCTTTCCTCAAGGATAGCACATATGGTACCCATATGGGTCAGAAAATATAGGTCCCATATGGGAAACCTATATGCCACCACATACAAATTAATGTGGGTTCCATGTGGGCCCAAAATGTGTTATATCTGGGCTATGTGGGCTAAATCATATGGGTCCCACATGGAAAATATGGGTCCCATATGGGTGCAGAATCCGGAGGTTTCCTCAAGGATTGCACATATGGTACCCCGATAGATCTGCATATGGGTACCTTATGGGCTTGTTACCTGGGTAGGCTAGGCTTAGATTGCTGCCGTCACTCTTCTACGTATACTACTACTGCATAACAAAGAAAGCGACCCACGCGGTGCATTCTTAGATTTTACACACGACATTATTAAAATGTATTATAACGATAACACGTTATAACAAGCCTCATGTTTTGTGGAAAGTTAGATAGTCGTTATGTCGACAGTCGGCTGCGATGAACACCATACGATACGATAATGTCATCAATGATGACAATATCGTATCATGAGTTCTAACCTAGAAAAGCCTACAGCCTCTGTCTAATGCTAGCTAGGCCCAGGCATAAGCCTGCCTATCTGCTAGGGTTTAGCTGGTGGCCAGACACAGCTAATAATTACATGATAATTAGCCTACAATTCTCTTTAACATACGATATTCCTAAATTTTGTATTGTCATGAGCATTTTTTCTGAAACTTAAAAAGCTGAAATATCCTTAGTAGATGGATTAGACTCCAGAAAATACCGGTAGTAATTATCCGTGATTTGCTAAGCTATTTTTTTTTTGGTTTTTTTTTTTTTTTTTTTTTTTTTTTGTGTTTTTAGCGAATTAGGATGGTACGTTCAAACCACCAAAGGCTTAGGCCTACGTTGATGGTTTTCCGTTTTCACATTCTAATCAGTGCTTCTAGTTGAGAGATACTATGTACTTTAGCCAAATATTTAAGGTATTAACAATATCAATGGCCTACCGTCTCTGATTAATGAAATCAGCCATTTCTAGAGTTTCAGAAAAGTCCTCACATTATTACTGCAGATTCTTGAAGTCACATGGAGTCCCAGGAGACATACAGTAAACATAAGTTAGTGGTAAGGCTCACCTTTACGATTTTATTTTTGTAATGTTTTTTGTTTTTTGTGCCGTGTACTTTTTGGCTCTTTTAATATTTATTTACTTTATTTATTTAATTTTATGTTCTGTACCTATATACCATGTGTAACCTGTTGTTAGTACTATAACTGGCTGATTTTTAATAATGTCTGATCAAAATATTTTAAATAATGTACCATTTCATGAAACGGACACTGATGAACACCACGATGGCCCACTAAATTACAGTAACATGCCTAAACTTGTTTTTAATCAACTTATTAATGATGACGATAACTTTGATGAACATGATGATCCACTAGCTAATTACTTAACTTGCAAAGCTAACGCTCTTGATGAATGCAGCTATGTTGATCTGATTTTAATTCTAAAGTTTCAAATTTAAATATTAATAATATAGCTTATCTCTCTTACATTTAAATATTAGAAGTGTCTCCAACAAAACAAACTCGAAAATTTAATACATTCTTAAAATTTTCTATTTTCAGTTATTGGCTTGTCTGAAACATGGCTTAGTGAGAGCAAACCGTCACAATTCCTTGAAAACTTTAACTTCTATTATAACAATAGGCATGATAACAGAGAAGGTGGTGGTGTTGGGCCGGCTATTTGTTCGAAACAATCTAAATATAAAATTAATAGACGATTTAACATTGCCTAAAAATTTATGCAATTCCCTTTTTATCGAAATTATTGCTCATAGACAAAAAAATAAATAAAAGAATTGGCATTAGATATAAACCTCCAGATTCAGATATAAGATTATTTTCAATAACAATGTATTTAATTAAATTAAATTCTTCAAAAAAAAAAAGATTTTAATGTAGATCTAATGAAATTAGGTAAACACAATCTCACCAATAATTACTTTAACGTAATTATTTCCAATTCATTATTTCCTACCATATCAAAGTCAACTCGGATTACAACCAGCAGTGCAACCCTAATAGACCATTTCTATACAAATCAAATTAATACCGTGATAAAATCTGGTGTAAGCCTACTTATAACTGATGTATTGGACCATCGTCCCGTCTTTCATATAACTGACTATAAATTAGAATGTGATAAACCTTCTTATTTTATAAACGATATTAATGCTTTATGTCATGTTAACAAATGAAGACTAGTCTAATATGAATAACTGTAATCCTTGCACTTCCTTCGATCTATTTATTGAAAGGTTTTCTACCGTTTATAATAATCATTTGTGTAATACGAAACATAAAAAGAAAAGTCTGTTTAAACAGCCCTGGATGACCAAGTCCGTTCTTAAATGCAGTGAGCGCAAACATAAATTATACAAAAAAAATCTTAAAACTCGTGATCCCATTGATGAACTAACTTATAAAAAATATAACAATTTTTTTAAAATTTATGTTCATACTCTTAAAAAAACTACACTAATCGACTTGACCAACTTAAATCAAATCCTAATGGTATTTGGAAAGTAATAAATTCAGTAATAAACCCCCAAAAAAGAAATAACATTAAATCACTCAAAGTTGGGGACAACTATGTCCTTTATTCTGATGACATGTGTGAACAATTTTAATTCTTATTTTTCTGTAATAGGATCCACAGTTAGTAATTTTATACTTTTGCATTACAGATCCTATTTCTTTTTTCCCCACTCCACCACCCAACACTTTTTTCAAACGTGTATCAGTGAACCCGAAGTAATGGACTTATAAATTGCCTTGATTCAGAAAAGGGATCTGGATATGACAATCTTTCATTATCTAGGCTTTATAAATATCTTACTATTAATAATATTTTAACCGATCGTCAATTTGGCTTTCGAAAACAACACTACCAACCATACAATTCTTGATTTAATTAATTCCGTGTATAATTCTTTTGATAATACATGTTAAGAATTTTTCTGGATCTATCAAAGGCTTTTCAAGGACTACAAAAACAAATTATGTTTTATGTCATAGCCGTCAAAAAAATAGATAAAGCTAGATAAAGATAATTGTAACATTTACCTCAATGAGATTACGATTGAAAGGAAATATGAAAAATTTTTTCTAGGTGTTCATGAAAACGTATTATGGACTAGTCATCATAAATATATTGTATATAAAATATTAAAATCGATAGGTGCTATTATTAAACTCAAATACTTTTTCTTATTAGACCTTATTAAATTTACATTATTGCAATATTGTATGGGCAGCCGACTATCCGACCAATCTTGATAAATTACTTAAGTTACAGAAACGTATAATTTGTATAATAATTTCCCCTTTTATTCTCCATCCGAACCTTTATTCAATAAATTAAATAATATTCTTAATAGGCCCATTTATGATCTTCACAAAATCCAAATTTTCTCTTTTATGTTTAAATATGTCAACGGACTATTACGTTCATCAATTTCTAATATACTGCTTAATATCTGTAATTCACCTAGATATAATTTAAGAAAACCTCATAAAATTGATGTACCGTTTTCAAGACCAGTGGTCTTGAAAATGTGACCATTGGCGTCCTGATCAAAAAGTTGAGAGTCTGCGCCCTTCACTGGGCATTTTATCTGATTGTTTCTTTCAACTTAAATCCATACCTGGTAGTGCAGGTTTCACATGCGTATTACTGTTGGACACCTTGCATTATTTGATAAAAAGTGAAAGTTTATATAATTATCTATAATGCATTACATTTTATTCTTATTAATTAACTCCATCATAAAACATCTTCCACTAATTACCCTACACAGATGTAATTAATTTTTTTCTGAAAATGTAAGTTGCCAGATATATCAGGATGAAGTCCAATCTTTAGAAGGGTCAAAAGAATTTGCAAAATCTAAGTTCACAAAAAATAATAAGTAATATTTAAATGGACAAAACAGATAAGTATAATTGTAAATGTAAGGCATTTACTACCATAACAAAATTGTAGGTCTGTTTTTCGTCTTCTATGCTGTTAATAAATATAAAGTAAAATATAGAGATATATCATTATCATCATCATCAATATTACCATCGTCAAAATCATCATCATAATTATCAACATCATCATCATCACCATCAACAATACAATATATTATTGTATTTACTTTAAAAATTCGCCTCACCTATTTTTAATTCCAGTAGTCTCCATTTTAATAAGTCGAGTTCCTCGGTCACCTTCATATCTTTAATATGGACTTGATTGCCTTCTTCCATGGCGTAAATGAACAGAGTAAATATAGACGTATTACTATCAATCATCACCCTTTATGTTAAAAACCAACGACAATATTATGTAATATTTGATTTAGTATATTTTAACTTACTTATTTTAAATTTCAGCATTCTTTGCCTACTTACAATAAATCGAGTTCTTACTGCCATTTCT